GAAACAAGCTTCTTATTCTTTTTCAGGAAAGCACCAAAGGACACATGACTCCAGTGCATCAGGAAGGTCTGGAGGACATAGGGGGTGCGGGTGATGGATTAAGAGGCCAAGCAAGAATTAGGGGCTGTGGTGTGATTGAAGCCTCTGGGCTCCTGGAGGTAAAGCGGAAGACAAGTAGTGGATTTCCATCACCAAGCTGGGCTTCCTTGTTAAATACATGAAAATCAGGTCCCTGGAGGTGATGTACCTGTTCTCCCTGTCCACTAAGGAATCCAAGATAATTGATTTTTTTTTTTTTTCTGGGCACATCCCTAAAGCCAGTTTAAAGATCATGCCAGTGCAGAAGCAGACTCGGGCTGTCGAGCGGACCACTTTCAAGGCTTTTGTAGCTCTTGGGGACTACAATGGATTTGTTGGTCTTGGTGTTAAGTGCTCCAAGGAGGTAACCACTGCCATCTAAGGGGCCATCATCATCTTGGCCAAGCCTTCCACTGGCCCTGTATGGAGAGGCTCTAGGGGAACAAGATTGGCAAGACTCACATGTTCCATACAAAGTGACAGGCCCATGTGACTCTGTGTTGCTGTGTCTCATCCCTGCCCCCAGTGGCACTGGCATTTCCTCTGCCCAGGAGCCACTGATGACAGCCGGTATTGATGACTGCTACACATCAGCCAGGGGCTGCACTGCCACTGGGCAACTTTGCCAAAGCCACCTTTGATGCCATCTCTAAGACCTAGAACTACCTGACACCCTGCCTCCATCTCTGGAAAGAGACTGTGTTCACCAAGTCTCCTTATCAGAAATTCACTGGCCACCTTGTGAAAGTCTCTGCTCAGGGAACCCAGGACAGGGAATGTTTGTCTGTGTGTATTTTTTTTTTCTTGTCTTAGAAGTCAAACCAAGATACTGGATAATTCTACCAACCCAAGTGTCTTATAGTTTCTATTGCAGTAATAAAACACCATGACCAAAAGCAACTTAGAGAGGAGAGGGTTTATTTCAGCTTAGAGTCCCACATCACAGTCCATCCTATTAAAATAAAAAAAGGAACTCAGGGCAGGGACTTAGAGGCAGGAGCTGAAGCAGAAGCCATGGGGGAACTCTGCTTACTGGCTTGCTCCCCATGGCTTGCTCAGCCTGCTTTCTTATAGAACCGAGGACCACCAGCCCAGGGGTGGTACCATCCACAGTGTGCTGGACCCATTCCACATCAATCATTAATCAAGAAAACACACCACAGCTTGCCTGCGGGGACTGAGCAGATACACGGCTTTGATCTGGGCCTCTCTGCCTTAGAGAAAGGCAATGTTTGAGAAACACCAACACCAATGTTGACTCGAAACTTGAAAGGGGCAAGTCTTATTTGAGAAATCCACACCCTAGCTCTTGGTTGTGTTCCACTTTCTTCCTGCACACCTACCTTTCTCTTAACCCTAGGGCTCCAATTCTTAAAATCTTCTAACAAACTCCCAACCCTGCTCTAAAAACCTTTAAAAAAAAATCCAAAAACATTCAGACCAACACTTCTGTGAGCCGAGCATGCTTCTCTCACAGTAAAATGTCCTTCATCCTTTGAGAAGGGAGTTCCCAAGACGCGGTCACAGAAGCTTGCTCCTCCCTCCCTAAGTAAAGTGACAACCACCATTTTTCTTCTCCTCACAAACACCTTGTAAAGGGATGCCATTTTATCAGCCTCAGGAGAGACTGGGACACAGAGACAAAAATGTGCCCTGTAGTCATTTAAACACAGCAGGGCCGTGAGTTTGTTTTTAACTTTATTTATTATTATTATTATTGTGTGTGTGTGTGTGTGTGTGCGCGCGCGCGCGCGCGTGCGCGTGTGTACACATGCCTAGTTCTCTCCCTCTACCACAGGGGTTCCAAGGACTGAACTCAAGTTGTTAGCTTTAGCAGCAACCACCTTCACCAACTGAGCTATTTCATCAGTCCTCTGGTTATTTCGTCTACTTTTGTTTTTATTTGTTACAGTGTTGTTGTTGTGTGTGTGGTTTGTCATTTGTTTGATTTATTGCTGTGTGACATTCTGAGACAGGCCGTCCGTGGGGCAGAGCCCTGTCCATCCAGTAAGAGGCAGTGTAAGGAGTGGACCCTCCACACTGTGTGCTCGACGAATTCCAGTGATTTGGGCTTGTGCAGCATAGCCCCCTCTCTCTAGACAGCTAGTGCTGGTCCAGAATGCTAGTTTCTATGGAAACAATTATAGGGCTGGAGACGTGGTTCAGTTAGTAGTGTGTCACCCAGCATGCGCAAAGCCCTTGGTCTGATAAACTGGGCACACCTTTAGTTTTGGTCCTTAGAAGGCAGAGGCAGGGGGATCAGAAATGAAAGGTCATCCTCGGATACACAATGAATTGCAGACTGGCCTGGACTGTGGGAGACCCTGTCTCAACAACAAAGAGACTATGAAAGATATTGGTGTATCATTTTTCAATAAAACGGCAGGGCATTGCTGGCCAAAAATATTTAATCACCATAAGGCCTTTCAGTTTGGCAGAGTAAAAGGATAAATGTGGGATCGAGTGTCACCCGGAGACAGTTGGCCTTGTTCTCTTCCAGATTATTTATAAGAGTGACAGGTCCTCCTCTGAGCCACTCAGGAGTCACACACGGGAGTCAGCAAGACCTTAAACTGTCCTTGTTCAGTTCTCACTGTGAGCCTGAGCCACAGCTCTGAAACCATTTCCTTGTCAATATGGTTGCTTCCCAGAGTCTTCATCAGGGTTAAAATAGGGATCAGCAGCTTAGCTGCCTGCATACAGCACCTCATAAATGGCAGCTATTGTTATAATTCAACTGGAGGCAGAAAGCTTGCATGTATCGGATTGCATGCTTCAGTTTCCTTTCTCCTGTGTGCAGATCTTAGCAAAATGCAACCCAGGAACTCCAGGGAAGTATCATTCAAACCCTAATGTTTGAAACTGAGCATGGTGACACAAGCCTTGTAAACCTACTTGATGCAGCAGGATCACCCAGAGTGATGGGCTACAGAGTAAGTAGCAGGCTAACCAGCACTTCATAGCAAGACTGAACTTTAAAAAAAGAAGGATGAGAAGGAAGGAGAAGGAGAAGGAGGGAAGGAAGGAAAGAAGGAAGGAAGGAAAGAAAGAAAGAAAGAAAGAAAGAAAGAAAATTACCTTGAATAAATTAAAGGTTAACTCATGTTACTATAAAATCCTTTGGCAGAAATGTAGAAATCTGCATTTGAATTCATGCATGTCATTTTGATGACATCAAGGCAAAGGATATGAAGGCATGATTAATTAAAAAGTTATTTCAGGTAGCGTCTGTCTTTCCCTAAAAGGCTGAAGAGCAGTGCTTCAACAGACTTGAAATTTGAGGGGGCACTGAAGCTTCATATTACCTGTCCATGTCAAGTTTGAAAGGAACTTGAGGGTCCCACCTCATATTTTTAGAAGATTCATTTATTTATTTTATTCATATGGGTGTTTTGTCTGCATGCATATCCGTGCATGTTTGTGCCTGGGGCCCAGGGAGGCTGGAAGAGGACTGGAACTGGTGTTGGCTGCTAGCTGTCTCCTGGCTGCTGGGAATCAAACCTGTGTCTTCTGGAACAGCAAGCAGCCTGTGCCCTTAACTTCTGGCTCATCTCTCCAGTCCCCAACTCGTGTTTTAAGAAAACAAAAAGATGGAATAGTGAGCTAGCATACTTAGTTCACAAGAGATATTTGTCCAGGAATTGAGATTTATTTTTTAATTTATTATTAGCAGGAGTAGTAGTAATAGTAGTAGTTGGTAGTGGTGGTGTGCATCTGTGAGTGCTTGCATGAGAGAGAGAGAGAGAGAGAGAGAGAGAGAGAGAGAGAGAGAGAGAGAGATGTGTGTACATCCAGACATGTGGGTGCCAAGGTACCAGTGAGGAAGGCAGAGATAATCCTCAGGAGTCAGTTCTGGGGATCAAACTCAGGTTGTCAAGCTTGAGTGGAACCATTTTAGCCTGATGAGCCAACTTGCTGGCCCTAGATTTAGGTTTCTTACTGGTTAGGACACAGCAGAAAAAAATGGTAAAATTACACAGGGCCAAGCCAACCTCTGTGTTGCTTTACTACTTGTGCCCTGGAACTGAATTTTTTTCTTTTTTGTGTGTGTGTCTTTTGAGAGGAGGGTCTAACACTATGGTCCAGGCTGCCCTGGAGCTCACGATGTCACCCATGCTGACCTTAAACTCATAGCCATCTTCCAAACTCAGCCTCCCGAGTGCTAGGTTCAGAGAATGAGCTAGAACCAGAGCGTGGTCATATTTTTATAGTCCACGTAAACAGTAAATATCCAACGTAAAACGTCCTTCCTCGCCTCACAATGAATGGTGAGTTCATTATGAAGAGACAGCCATTCTCAGTGTGATTATGTGTGCCTCAAAGCTAGTAAAACCCACAGCACAAGAATTCTCTTTGTAAGTTACAGCAGGGTATACGTTTTGGATATTATTTACCATTGCTACCCAGTTAAAAGCAATCTTCTTTAGACTTCGAATGTATCTTCTTAGACAATCACATGTAACAAAACTTGCTTTCCCTGGAGCTGCCTCCAGGGAGTTGGCTTGACTTTCCTATGATGCGGATACCATTTCCTGCTCCATCCCTTCACCTGCTGCTGTTTCTTTGGGCACAAAGAGCACCCATCTACTCAATGGCCCAGCTTTGAGGAGAGCTGACAATAGCAGACTTCAAATTACTCCATCAATAGATGTTTAAATAGCCACTGTATAACAGTACTTCAGCAGAGGTGTCCTGGGGGAAAAGAAAATCAGTGACCCTTGAGAGGTGTTTTCTCACTGTCTGCCCCACCTGCCAAGCCATCTTTACCTCCATGTGCCCTCCAGGATGCTCCACTCCCCCAAATCCACCCCTGCAGAGCCACCAAATGGGCAGAATCCCGTCCCACGTTCAAGTCTCTCAAGGACTTCTCTATCAGTTAAGATTTCCATTTGGCAGCTAGTAACAGAGGCCAGAAACAGTGGTGGCGTAAACCAGATAAAAGTTTATTTTTCTTTTCTGTAAAAGAATTCTGGAGATAAGAGATGCAGGGCTGGTAGAGCCTCGCCTATATAGCTCCTGTATCTCTCCCCTCCACAATGGACCTTCTATCCTTACAGACAAAGAGGCCTCCTCAGGTTGCTTCCGCCTTCTCCATCTTGTGGACAGCAGCAGGAGACAGATGGGCCCAAGGCAAGCTTCTGTTGTGACCACCTCAGGACTCACCATGGTCCAGCATACATTGTGAACAGCCCCTAAGTAACCAAAAATGAAAAAAAAAAAAAGAAAGAAAGAAAGAAAAAAGAAAAGTTTTTACCCATTTATTATTTGCATATGTGTGGGGGGTGCATGCGTGCCAAGGCATGTGTGGAGGTCAGAGGGAAACCTACAGGAGTCAGCTCCCTTTCTACCACGTAGGTCCTGAGAATTGACCCCGGGCCATCCTTTACTTGCTGAGCTACTCATCTGCCCCAAATATGACTGTGTGGAAACAACAGAGGGAGACACTTTATCACTCACAAAACTTCAGCAAACATCAACAGTGTAGCCCAGCATGGTACCCTAAGCCTGTAATCCCAGATCCCTGCAAGCAGATGTGGAAAGAGTCTGCTTTCAAGCAGGCTACATAGAGAGTTCCAGGCCACCCTAAGCTATGTAGCAAGACCCCGACTCAAAACAACAAACAATGAAGCTGAGAGTATTGCCACCAACCTGTTATCCTGGCACTTTAGAGGTGGAAGCAGGGTTAGGAGTTCAAGGTCATTCTTGGCTACATCATGAGTTTGAGGCCACCCTGGGCCATATGAGGCCCCGTTCATAAATAAATAAATAAATAAGCAAACAAACAGCATACAATATACTGTATACTACAATGTATAATATACAATATACAGTATACAAACAGTATGCTAATATTGAAAACTGAAGGTGTAGTTTCAAACTCTTACAAGGGCACTTTGTTTTATAAAACTGTATAATTAGGGGCTGGGTGTATAAGTGATCAGTACCAAGTGTATATCTAGTATGTATAAGGCCCAAAGTCTGATCCCCAGCCCGGGGTGGGGGGGGTAATAAAGTAAAATATGGCTCACTATAGTATCTGAAATCCCTAGAATTAAATATTTCACCTGTTGGATTAAGAGACTGCACCTGCAGTAAAATGTACCGTGTTACACCAAGAAAGTAAGGGCAGGTACAGTAAGAGGCAACTTTTGATACGTTCAAAGTTAACGTAAACCCACAAAACTTTTACTTTGCAGTGTGTGTGTGTGTGTGTGTGTGTGTGTGTGTGTGTGGTGTCTTCCTCATCTTGCCTTTTGTATATATTTCTAAATTGTACTTATTACTATTGTAATAGCAATGTGCGTGACGTGTGTGTGAGCGCCACGGCACTCCCGTGAAGCCCAAAGGAGATCTCTCCTAGCATCTTTATGTGGGTTCCCAGGATCGAACTCGAGCCACCAAGCTTACTCAGCAAGCATCTTTACCTACTGAGCCATCTCAACAGCCCTCCATCTTAGTTTTTGAGATAGTCTCTCTGAACCTGGAGCTCACCAGTTCTGTTAGGCTGGTGGGCCAGTGAGTTCTAGAGATCTGCCTGTTTCTGCCTACCTGGCAGGGGACTTTCAGGCACATGCCAGGGAGCCCAGTTTTTTACTTGAGTGTTGGGAATCCAAGTTCCAGTGCTTGTGCTTACGGGGCAGCTATTTTACACTTTGAGCCATCTCCCAGCCCTTTATTATTTTTGAAACAGGATCTCATGTGACCCCGGCTGACCTTGGCCCTCACCTCCCAAGTGTTGGCATCAGCGGTGTATAAGCCATGCCCAGCTTCAAAGTAATTTAGAGAACGGAGAAAAAAGATCACCTAAGTTGGTGCAGAAGCTGCCAGGCGGCTGACGCATGGACCCAGGTGCTTGTGTGGGGCATGCAGCCACGGGGGCTTCCTAGAAGGATGTTGTATAACCTCTAAAGAGGAAGTACAAGTGGAAGCTATCTGCACAGAGCAGAGACGTGACGGCGCAATGCTACTTCTCACAGACAGTGCTACTTCAGGGCTCGGAACACAGCTTGGCTGGCAGAGGGATTGGCCAGTGTATATGAAGTCCTGGGCTTGATGCCCTGTGCCTCATGTATGGTGAAGCACACCTGTAACCTCAGTGTCGAGAGACAGAAACAGGAGGATCCCACAGCCCACTGACCCGCCCTTTTAGACAGCCGGAGAGCTCCAGGTTCAATGGGAGACCACGGTTTAAAAATAAAGTCTAGAGGGCTGGAGAGATGGCTCAGAGGCTAAGAGCACCATCTGCTCTTCCAGGGGTCCTGAGTTCAATTCCCAGCAACCACATGGTGGCTCACAACCATCCGTTATGAGATCTGGTGCCGTCTTCTGGTGTGCAGATATACATGGAAGCAGAATGTTGTATATACATAATAAATAAATAAAATCTTTAAAATACATAAATAAATAAAATGTAGAGCAATAGTTCTCAACCTTCCTAAGCTATGACCCCTTTAATACAGTCCTCATGTTGTGGTGACTCCCAATCATAAAATGATTTTTGTTGTTACTTCATAACTGTAGTGTTGCTACTGTCGTGAATCACAATGTAAATAGTTTTGGCGGTGAAGGTTAGCCGGCCAGTTCATGGCCCACAGGTTGCCAACCCCTGGTATAGAGCAATGAAGGAAGACACCTGATAGCTACCTCTAGCCTCCACAAAAGTACCCACAAACACACTGGCTCACACACACTAGTCCTCTGCTCCTGGATAGAGAGTGTATCATATTCTACAGAAACAATGTAATAAAATATTGAATACAACATAACTATTATTTCATGCAGGACTTTTACTTAGCTCTTCACATGTATTAATTTGTTCCAGAAAAAAAAGATGCTCTTAAGCAAAGAGTCAGGCTTGGTGGCACACGGCCTTTAATCCCAGCTCTAAGGGTACAGAGGCAAGTGGGTCTCTGTGAGTTCAAGGACAGCCTGGTCTACAGTCGGGGCTACATAGTGAGACCCTGTCTCAAATTTTAATAATAATAATAATAATAATAATAATAATAATAATAATAAAGATTATTCAGACAGACACCAGCCGGGAGTGAGGGGTGGCACATGCCTGTCATCTTTAGAAACAGGAGGATCAAGAGTTCTAGGCCAGCGGAACCTATATAAGATTTTTGTTTCAGGGGAAAAAAATGTCATTGGGTCAAGTGCTCAGTCCAAGTACACAAGAGAAACTCATTGTTATCAATGCTCCACCCAAGGTCCCAGGAGAGCCCCTTTTCTCCTCCCCCTAACCAACCCA